CTTTCTTTCTTTCTTTCTTTCTTTCTTTCTTTCTCTCTCTCTCTCTCTCTCTCTTTCTCACCTGCCAATCCCACACATCAAATTCTTGGCAGATCGGCATAGTGGAGCAAGTGCTGAAATCCAGAAAGAGGAAGAAAAGAAATTCAAAGAAGTTGGTGAAGCCTTTACCATTCTCTCTGATCCAAAGAAAAAGGCCCGCTATGACAGTGGCCAGGATCTAGAGGAAGATGGCATGAATATGGGAGGTGAGTGCAAAAGAGAGCTTTTACTTGGTGACCTTTCTGTGCATAAGTGCATGGTTGTGGAATGGGAACAAGGAAGGGTAGTATCTACTCAAAATTTTGAGGGTAGTGTTCTATATTCTTCTGATGAAAGCTATAGAAACTGAATTTGTTCATCTTACTTAATATATTTTGGCTTAATCAAAAGGTTTGGAAATTGAGGGCAAGGCAAATATGAGTCTGGGGGACTCATGAGAAAAGAGAAAATGAACATTGCAAAGTGTTATAGATGCTTTTTAGAACTTTCATGACTATAAATGTAAATTTAAACAATAGAAGCTAATCAAAAATTCCTTCTCACCTGCTTTTCTTCTTTTTTTTCACATATACTTCCCAATAGATTTTGATGCTAATAATATCTTCAAGGCTTTCTTTGGAGCACCTGGAAGTTTTAGTTTTGAAGGTGGGTCATCTTTCACACTGTACAAAAAAGGAGTTGTTCCTACTTTTGAATAGGAAAACGGTCTGTAGGTTTCAACTGAGACCGTGTCTCTCAATCCTTCATCTTGGGTCAAATGAGAAACCTATTAAGTTCTGGTTTAGGGATTCAGCAGAGGCTGTTTGATTCATACAAAATACAGTTCTAGCAGGGGACCATAAAGTGTTCCACTGTCCAGATCATAGTCCCCTTTAAAGATGCTAAGGCATGTGCTGTAGGCCCTTCTGTGCTGTGCTCAGAGCATGTGTGCAGGGCGTCAGTTGTGGATCCGTTTGTTTAATCGAGGTTTGCCTTGCTAGGGAACCTCGTAACTTCCTCTCCTTGTCCAATCACTCCAAAATGCAGCTGTTCCCATAATAGTTATAAACTTTATGTCATTCTTCATGCTTTTTCTAAGTGGACTTTGGAATCTTTCCTCTGTTTAAAAGATCTCAGTATTGCAGCAATTGCTTTGATGCTTCACTTCCTAATTTGCTAATCTGTACCTCTTTGTCTTTCAGCTTCTGGACCAGGGAATTTCTTTTTCCAGTTTGGCTAAGCTGCAGAACAGATCCATTTCATCTACTGAAATCCAGAGTTTCCCTGACCTGCTTCTTTTAACTTCAAGTTCCATCCTCCCTTCATTGCATCTCAGCGTTTCTTAGGGCTGTGGCGTTTTCTCTGTTGGAAACATCAATTTTTGTGTGTGCTTTAGAGTGTGATGAGAAAACCAGCATTTGGAGGGAAGAGGGAGGGAGCAGTTAAGGAATATACATTTTTGTTTGTTTTATTGTTAACTTTATTAAAAAAAGAGAGAGAGAAAAAATGAAATCTTTTGATTCCTCCGTTAAATAATTTAAGATTCCCAAACTACTGGGACTTCATTCAGGGAATCCTTATCTTCTGAAATAACCTTGAGACTTTTCTCAAGCGCAACTGGATATGCCATGCCTTTATGGGGTTTCACACTATGGGGAAACTGAATTGAATTTTTTCACTTTAGTTTTATTGTACTGGCTGTAGCCATATTGAACCTTATTCCCAGAAACATTTCAGACACTTGAGAAATGCAAAGAAGTTTGCCACATTATTCTCTGAGAGAGTCATCTTTGGAATAAGAGTTGCCTCTTCTCAGCACTTTCTCTTAATATTTCCAGAGTCTCTTTCATTTGAGGAACAGTTTCTGTTTCCAGTTGCTTGAGTACTTCAGGAAAATGGTAAGGGCTGATTTGACATATGGACATATCTTTTTGATGGTGGCTTCCAGATCAACGTGTAAACCTGATTTCATTGAAAAGTGCATGAAGTCAGAGGTGATTGTCAGGTGTTATGAAAGGTGTATATATGTCTTGTTAGATCTGCAGTGCATATTTCACACATGCACATCAACATGTGATGTCACAGTTCTTACATGCATGCACAAGTCCACTGTAAGTGTTGGAATCTCTTGAACTAATTGGAATCTCAAAATGCATTTTTGATGTTGAGAAGATTTTTCAGAATTGACCAACAATGTGTTGAATGTTTAAAAGAAGAAATTCAGCATTATTTGAGGGAAGAGTACTATAGTGGTAGCCAGCCATGCTGAAGTTCTTGATGCATTTTTTAAAGTTTTGCCCAATGTTTGTACCATATTGACTACCCTTAACCCATAATATAATTTCTGCTTTGGACAATTAGCTCATTCCTTTTTCCATAATAGTAAAAATCATAAGTAGACTGTCATCTCTTCTAACAATCTCCCAGTCCCTGAACCATTTTTATATTACATGCAGTTTTCACCATTTTATGTTATTTCAAACTCCTCCTCTCTTAGTCTCTCTTACTTTTCCTCAATCCAGGCCACACTGGCTAGGAGATTAGGGAAGCTGAAATCTCAATACATCTAGAGGAGATCAGCTTGGGGAAGATTAGCCTGGAAGATCAATATTGTGATGAATGAAATTGTTCAGCAGAAGAGTGGTGTTTGTGTTACATCTGAACAGGTTTTGGCAGCTTTCTATTCATGAGACCAATGGAAAAATTGATAAAAAACCTCAAAAAAATTGTAATCATTTGCAAGATTTTTAAACAGTTCTTGTGCAGTGCCTGGAATTCGGCTCAGTGAAATGTCAGGTATTGATCTAATATGAGACATTGTTTTAAGAGGTACCCAGATTGTGTCCTGGGAATTATCCTCTATTTTTCAAGCCATTCAGTTGGTGGGTCCTAGCAAGCTTAAGGAATAGCATAAATTAGGCTTCATTCCTTTAATAGCTTCAAACTAAGGAACTCAAAAAGTGGATGCAGAAATAGTCTATTGGGAGATGGCCAGGAACTGAATGCTAAACTAAAGGAAGAACAGAATAAATTCAGGAGCTTGATCTCAGCCAGCATTGCATGCCGGTTCCTGGCCTAGCAAATGTTAGATATCTCTAATTGAGAATTTCATTGTACAGTCAAATTCTGCTGGTGGAATTTATTTTTTTGGTTGAATGCATACATTTTAGAGGAGTTAATTAGTGGAATTGTGTTGTGTCCATTCTCCTTTAAGGGTAATGACAAATAGGATAGTTCAGAAACTGGCACAAAAGGCTATGAAATCAACAACCTCCCTCTTCATTGCTTTATGCTGAGAGAAGTTAACAGCATGTTACCTTCAGAGACTGAGGCGTCAAGGAGCAACACTGGCATCCTGTGAATTTTTCCCTTTAAGATGTTTTGGCTCATTGCAATAATTTCCTTTTAAAAACTCCACAGAGGATTAGAGGAATATTAAGAGTTTCAGTGGATGGCTGCCTGGTTTTCTGATCATCTCTACACAGCTGGGAGTAGTATTAAAGATAACTTAGAAAATTACTTTCTCCGTATCACAAGCATTTAAAAACTTTTTTTTCAGATCCAAGAGTCAATGATACAAAATTCCTAGACCTTAAAACTGATTGTAACCTGAAAAGTAATGAATGCTGTAATACTTTGCTTTTCTACTTTGTTTTTGATTATCTGAAATTCTTCTCATTGCAGCCATTAAGGATCTTCAGATATACCAACTTTTGCATTATACATTAGGCCATGTACAATCTCCTTCAGAAATTCTCCACCCTGGTATAACCATTCTGTAACTTGAATTCGGTTCTTAGCACTTGGACTTTGTTTTTTTAATTAGCAAAGCTATCTTTAAGGGGTACCAAAAAGAATGTTACTGATATCCAATGGATTACATTTCTATCTGTCTGAGGCTTGGGGTATACCTATAGAGAAATACATTGTTGGAATCTTGCAGTGATCATCATATTACAGGTGAAATGAAACTTTCAGTGCTCCCTTATGGAAGCTCCCTGAGAATAAAAAGCAGGTACAGAGATGGGCTTGAACATTCTTTTCACTGCTAGTTAGCTTACAGGATGATTGTGATGGTTCTATATAGGGAGGCATACAGTGCTGGTAATTTTAAGTAATATCACTGAGTACCATTTTTTCCCACTACGTGTAGACAAAGAACCAAGACTTTCTCATGTCATGCATGGGGCAATTCCTTTGGTGAGGGAGGTCTAACAGCAGCATATTTTAGGGAAACCTGCCATTTTTGCCTATTTTCTTTCCCTGTACACTTCTTGATCAGCTGTTTTTGCATGCATTGTGCCCTCTTTGCTGTACAGATACACTTACAAGGAATACCTGAGCAGAGGACAGGTAGATCAATGTTCAAGCCATTTGGAGAAAGGCTGTTTGGCTAAGAATAGTTAATATACATTCTGACCTCCGTGTGAGGACCTAGACTTCCTATTAATAATACATTTGTTGCATGATCTGTTTTTAAAACAGCATCCCATCCCTTTCTCTCCCGTGGATAGCTTCAGACACATGGATAGCCACATTGCCCTACTTGAACCCTTTCACTTATCTGAGATGAAGATTATTTAAAGAAGAAAAAGTGGTGACTGTTCATTAAACAGGATTCATAATGTGTTTATATGCAGAATTTCAAACCAGACTGAAGCAAAAACCATATGCAATTGATATTAACTTTATTATAAAATGTATATGATGTACAAAAAAAAAAATAAACACTCCAGATCTCGCTGGTGACTTATGCCTCTTTAAACTGAGTAGACACTGCTGAGGCTGTGAGTGTGGTGATACGGTGCTGGACTGAATAATTTGGGGGGAAATCTCAAATCTGTGGTGGTCAGTGTTAAAATTGTATGAGTTGTGCAGCTAGTTTTATTTTTTGATGGCAAGAGGTAGACAGGGAGACCACCAATGTTAAAACTCAGAAGAGACCTAGACAGGGTTTTTGATTATGGGGAAGGCATGTACTAGGGCTGTTCAATTTCTTTTAAAGAGGTGCTTCACAACACCCAAGTTTGCATTTGAATCATCTCTCTTTGAATCTTTAAAGTAACCATGCCTTTTTCTAGGCTCATACAGCTGCTTTAGAAGTGCCCTGGCTCTCTCCCCGTGCATGGCTGCTTTATTTTGGAGGCCTCCAAAGCAGCACACATGAACATCTTTCACAAGAAGAAATGACTGGTGATAAACCAGTTAACATCTGTGCCTAATTTTAGTCTTCAGCTATAGACCTATCAAACAAAGCTCAATCTCTTCTCTGCATATAATCTGAAACTTCAGTTTAGCAATGGCTTGAGTAAAGGGTTCCATATCAATCAGCCTAATGTAAGTATCAACACAAACATTTTCTGCATGTTAATACATTTATTTCAGTGTACTTTACAGTTGCTATGAATCTAACTGCTATGTAAACCTGAATGAGAGTTAATTGTTTTAAGTTACATCAATCAAAACCATAGATATGTGCTACTTCTTTATGTGTTTTAAAAAAGCTTTGACCATATTTGAGTTGTATTAACAGAAATTTGAACTTTAGACAAGTATTTAAGAACTGACACAAATATTTTGCACATGCAAGTTACATTATATGTTTCCTGAGCAACATCTTTAGCACAACCAGCTTTTTCTTGTATAGCTAAGCGTTCAAGAAAAGTAAATGACCCAAACATCCACCTATCTTCCTTTAAATACTGGATGACTACAATTCTAAGTTTCAAGTGACATCTGTTTTGTAACTTATTTCAAAGATTTTATTGTATGTCTAACAGATTAACTAGCTCCCATTTAATCTTGTTGATCAAGAGCATATTCTCATAAAACAACCAGGAATTACATAGGAGGACAACTATTATTGTCACTGTATTCACATTGATGGTAAAAAAAAATCTGCCCCAGTCTAATGTTCTTGTCATGTATTGGGATTTGACTTCCTTTAGTCCCCAATTAGCATGGCCTAAGGTTCACAGCAAAGATAATGCTCGTAATGAATGGAGGAAATTGTTACTCAACCTAATTGAAGGGCATCCGTTTTGCAAAGGCTGGTCTTGGAGATCTTTTCCCACAATTCAATGAGGCTAATCCTCAAGTAATCCTGTGTATTACTTAGAGCTGAAGGGAGGACTAATTTTCATGTTATGAATAAACCAACTCAAAAGTGGGGGTTGGTTCACGTGTGTATTGCCCAGCTTGCAATAAGTAGTGTGAAAGACAGCTATAATCTAGATAACATTTTGGTTGTTGACATACTGTTGATACAGATGCTGCTGTGGAAGAAAGCAAGCGGGCCATGTATTCAACTAGACTTACACTAAATTACTTGAGGGAACTTAATTGTGTACACAAAATATATACCATTCAATATATGATATGGTTCAGTTGAGATAAAAGCAAGTTTGGCTTGCCCCTTATTTTTACAGGCTGTTTAGCTCATGCCATTCTATGTATAAGTATGTTATAAAATCAAAAAAGCACTTATAAATTCATTTTCTTTGTTTAACTGAAGAAGTCATGAGGGGTTTTTTTTGGTGTGTATTTAAGAACACAGGTTTTAAAATGTTAATTTCTTCCTTGAAGTGTATTTCCAAACGTTGAGTAGTTTCAAGTGCTAGGTCCAATGACTATGCTGGCTAAAGTTGAGAAAAGTTGGAGTCAGTATATCTAAAGAACATTAAGCTGGGGGTGTTGTATATTACCTTAGGATATACCTCTTTGAACTGTGAAGGATTTACTTCTCAGTTTATATGCATTTGGATTGCACTATGAATTTATTGTACTCTTCAGAAAACAAAGCCCTATAACTAAACTATCAAAGCTTCAGATATACCATTATTGTCTGAAATACTTGCTCACTGATACGTATTTTAGTCCATTGTCCCTTTTTTCATAAGATTTGAAGCTCTGATGGATTTCCTATCCATGCTCGGCTATCTGGCTGCATCCATCAATTAAAAAACAGATACATCCTCCCTTTTTACACAGATGGTGAGATACTTTTCTCAGATACAGTACTTAAGGCAGCTCTCATAATTTAGACCAATTGCAGCAGTTTAAGATCCAGTCAATTCAACTAATTTTGCTGTTGGATTATCCACCAGTTCAAATATCCTTGTTGAAAAAAAAATTGTACTGAAGGGACAGAGCAGTCTTAGTACATGAGTTTCATGGACAATGGCTGAAATTCAGTTTCTTGGCATCTTAAACAATCAGAAAACAAAAGATCTCTACTAAAAATTTACTGCCTGTCATTTTAGACAATACAGGACAGGATGGACAACAAACCAAGGAACTGTAAGGCAGATTCCTTCTCTCTAGTTTTAAATCCCTGTTAGTAGAAGCCCATGCTTCGGAACTATGATAACACATAAGCAAGATCATAAATCCCTTGCAAGTTTGTACAAGAGGTAATGTTGAAGGGGCTGCGGGCAACAGTATCAGATGTGCCAGCTTTCAGTGACATCTAATCCATACAATAACAATGTCACAGACTGGCACAAGACTAAGACATTGTGAAAAGCTAAGAGTCTGAGTTGCATGTTAACAAGATCTGCTTTTCATTAAAGGTTTGGAATGAAGCCTTCTACTGATGCTTAGCAACTGTTTCAAAAGCTCAGAAAATTGCTGGGGGAGGCTTTATCCCTCCTATTAAAAAAAAAAATCTAGGAAAAGGTACCTGCTACTTGCTTGGACAGAAGAAATATTAGCAAGACCTTGCTATGTCCAACCCAAACAGGGAGGCATTATACTTTATTTTAGAAGTACATCATCTTGTTGAAGATTCAACTGCAGACCAGAAAGGTAACATCTCTTTCCTCTTTACCTCAAGCTCAAAAGTTTAGCTGAACAGAGATGGCAATGCTTGATTTTGAATCTCAACTAAGGAGAGATTCCTTGAAGCCACCCAGTTACTCTGTGGATAACTTGGGAAGTGAATCTGGGCATTTTAAGTGTAATGTTCACTTAACTTTGCTAAGGTGTTTTCAGAATATGGGCAGAGGGGTGACTGATCCAAACTTTCTAAGTCTATCCTGAATTTGGATTCAAATGAAAGGTTAGGATTGTGTGAGGATGTAAAAGATGGGTCATGAACTTTTAAATACTTCCCCTCCCCCATACCTTTGCTGAAAATAGAAAGCTATAAAATTCTATCTTTATGGTTACCTACAATATTAGTTTCCTACTGTCAGGGAGTTTTTATGTGACGGATCACTGGAAAAACACTCTATTCACCCCTTGTGCTCTCCCTGTGCTCTGCCGTGGTACAATCCATCAGCTTCCCCCACGTGCTCTAACACTAACATTGCTGTAAGGGACCAAGTAGATTTATAGCACAGGAACAGCCCCAGTTCTGGCAAACTTGGAAAGGCTATTTTTCTATATTAAAAAAAAAAAAGGAAGCCTCAAAAGGATGGAATATCCAAGTATTCAGTTGTATTAATTTTAAAGGTATAAAAAGTGCTAATGTTTTCCATTAGAGGAATCCAGGCCTCTGAAGGTCAACAAATATTCCTCTAAAAAAGGACGTCACTAGAATTAAGATGTGGCTTTAGTTGTAGGGTGCTATCGTGTGTTGTGATGGGGAAGGTCTTATAAAAGGTTACACATTATATCGTATGAAAACAAGGCAGCAGTGGCCATTAGAGCCCTTAGATGATGATACAGGAATTAAAGGGTGATCCCCGTTTGCTACCTCCTTGAGTTGGCACCAGTTTTCCCTTTCCATAATAGCCACCAAAGACGGCCCTCACCTCAATCTTTTTTGAAAGCAAAAGCATCCACATCCCATTCCCGAAGGACACAAGTTTCCCACCGCCAATCTCCCCAACCTCCTCGCCTTTGTTCCCTGCCTTTTCCAGTTTCACAAATTCAAGGAGGTCAAGGCCAGTTTGGACAGCTTCTACCCCACTGGCACAGCCCAGAGTGATGTGAGCTCGGCTGCCTTTTGGGAAGCTGACCGCCGGCTGCAGCACATCCACGTCCCCAGGCCACAGAAGCATTTGCTGCTCGCTCATTTCCACGCGGGCACCAGCAGTTCTTGGGGTGATGAAGAGAGCAGATATGGTCAGGAAGAAAGATTTTCCATAAGAGGTCTTCACAATCTGCAGAAGAAATTATTCCTCTTAAGACAAGCCATGTATTCAACTCAGACTAACCCTGCCATCCTCCACCTAGTACCCTTCAAGGACATCAGGACTGTGTCTCCCTGGATCCCCACCCAGCACAGCCAGGGCTGTAGTCCAAATGCATCATCAGGGCACTAGATAGGAGAGGGCTGGATTAAGGCTGTAAAGTTTGAGCTGCAAAAGAAATTAGAACAGCTCTGAAATTCAGTAGCGTTGCCAGCCCCTAATGTTAACAGTATCTAGACATTCCATACAATTTATTACTTATGTCTAAATTGTCTTTAGATGGTGGAAGAGGGGCAGGAGCATAAAATGCATGACTTGTAAATCATGTGAAGTAAAATCAAAAGAAGTAACCCAAAATAGTAAAACAGCAACAACACAATAGTACAAATAACAGCTGAAACCAGAACTAAATTAAAATGTCTTGGCAAATAACATTTTGATTTGTATCAAATAAGTTATTGCCCTAAATGTACACTTGTGCACAGAGTATTCCACACCTGGGGTATTCTCATCTCATCATGGGGATCCCCTCTAGCGGAGGCTCTATGAAAAAGCCCTTTTTCCTTAGTATAGGAGTATGGGGAGAGATGGTCCTTTAATTAATTGGCTATGCAAGATGCTGTAATATGTTGCTTAATGTTTTTTTAAGTAGATCACATTTAGCTGGGTTCATACAATAGGCCAAGATGGAAACCAGCTAGTCAGAGTTTGGCTGACAATGTTGTAGGAATGCTACTTAAGGGTGCACCAGCACCTTCAATTGGACATGGAAGCTTTATGGCAAGCAAGATAATGCCTTCCATCTAGCTGCATCATTCTGGCAGTTATATTTGCAATGAAGGAAATTTTCCAGTTGTGTTAAAGGGCTGCCCCTTAACAGCAATCCAGTCAGTTCTTTCTACAAGAATTATAACTACTAAAATGTTAGGATTAAAAACAGTGATTTCTATAGTAAACTGGACAGATATTCTAGACCTAAAGGGATAGTTCCAACAGAACAAGACCTTAATGCTAATATGGTGTAGCAGTTAACGTGTTAGACTAGGAGCAGGGAGACCTAAGTTCAATTCCACTGTCAGACACAGAAATTTCCACAATTATTTTGGGTCAGTCACTTTCTCAGTCCAACCTACTTCACAAGGTTCTTACAGGGAGAAGGGAGTGCTGCATAGACTGTCTTGAGTTCCTGAATGAAAGGTAGGCTATAAATCCAATAAATAAATAGGCCCAAAGCAGTATTTGCCACTCTGGGCACAGTCAAAGATTCAACCATGCATCTCTAAGTACACAGTAAAACTGCGAAACACATAGATTTCCTTTACTAGACACCTTTATTCAGTTCAATCCTGTGACCTTTGTAAAATACAAGGATCTGAACAGGATTTCATAATATTATTGCTTGAACTTCTAGTGCAACAATAATATAATGAATATAAAACTCAGATTGATATTGGAAATGATTTGGTCTGGAGCAATAAATAGGTTGGAAAATGTAGAACTTGACTTCACTCATCTTTAACAGCTGTGCCACCCAGACCCCAGGCAGTATCAAGCCTACTAGCACCTTGTGACAGGAGGATATATTGAGTCCTGGCCACCTCCCTCCACTCCACTCCACCCAGGACTCCATTGTCTGTGGGCAAAGTAATCCCAGGCAGCTGGCACATCTCTGCTCTTCCAGGCATGCTAAAGGCAAAGCAAAGCCTGCACTGGGAACTGCTTCCACAGAGACCTCCACCAGCCACTTTTTCTCTGAAACCTGCAATCTTCCCAAAGTGGATTTCTGGATGAGATAACTGTTCCAATCTGGCCTATCCAGACAAACTGGGTCAATTGGCAGGTATTTATTCTAGATTAGGAAAAATCACAGCTGGGGAACTAGGGAATTTGGTGAAAAAAACAGCCCAACTCCCTTGTGTGATACTACTTTGAGGCACATGAATGGTTCTGGGAAACCTTCTGAGTTA